TATATATATATATATTCACTTATAGTTGACATACAATATTATACAACATCAGCTTCAGGTGTACATTGCAGTGATCAAGCCTCTTCCCCATCCATGTTGCAAGACATGTGACCACCTGACACCCTACAAAATATTCACAACATTATCAATTACGTTCCTTGAACTGTCCCCCATGTCCCCATGGCAACACTGCAGCTGCGTATTTATGCTGTCCAGTCCTTTGCTTTTAATAGAGAGGGTTTTAGCACATATGTGGAGGGGCCCCAAGTACATATTATTTAGTTCTCATTGTCTTCAATAGCACTGGCTACCACGCTTTCCTGGAAATTCCTGGATTTCGTTTCTTCATTCAGAATTATGTGGCTAGGATTTACGTATATTGTCATGGGAATTCTTCATGTCTCATTTACAGCAACCCTGTGGGCTAGGTGAGGTGCTCTCCCCATCTCAGAGAGGTACAGATGGTGAGGCTCAGCCTGCGGAAGTCACTAGTTCACAGTCACAGCTGGGACTTCACAGACGGGAATCTGGTGTTCAGCCTGCAGGTCTCTTTCTCTCTAGTGTCCTCATAGACTGAGGCAGCTAACAGTTTATGGATCATAAATCCTTTGAGAGTCTGATTAAACCTGTGGGCTTTCTCTCTTCCCAATATCCACACACAGTTTTGTATAAAATTTTAAGAGTTCCTGACTCCTAAAGCTCTTTCATGAACCTTCTGAGGATCCTCTAGGTGTCCATGATACTCCATTATCATTGCATCTTTGGGGAGGGGGAGAGAGAGAGAGAGAGAGAGAGAGAGAGAGAGAGAGAGAGGGAGAAGGAGAGGACATGAGCTACTGGATTTCATTATGCACAGGTAGGGAAGGGTGCCACTGCTCCTCCTCCATTCCCCTATATACTCCCAAATCCTTCTGGAGTGAGACAGTCAAGGATTCGTGCTGTAGATTCAGCTCTTACTCAATTAGTCTGTTTACTCTTCTGTAAAATGAGATGGTGACAATAAGAATACATGCCTTATAAGACTGTTCTGAGAATAGGATGGGGTAGTGCATACAGCCTGGTGTATAGTAAATGCTCATTAAATGGCAGCTACTTTGAGCCACTCAATCATTTACTCACTCATTGAATAGTGATTTGCTGAGTCCCTTCTGTGTGCCACGGAATATTGGCATTGGACGGAACATGTAAAATAAACTAATTAGGAAATGTTGACAGACATGAGCAATGATTATGATAAGGCAGGGTGCTATTTTAGAAAGTGGTGGGAGCTACTTCAGATTGAGTGGTGAGGGGAAGGCCCAATCCTGCTTTGTTTCAGAGCAGATACCCTGAAAGATGCAAGAGGAAGGCATCAGAGAGAGGCAGGTGTTGGTGCAAGAACCCTGAAGTAGGAGCCAGTTCAGCAGGTTTGGGGGAGAACACGAAGGCTGGATCTGAGTGAGCAAAGGGGTGAATGGGAGTAGAAGCAGAGGGGTGATGGGACACATCACAGGGCTGCGTGGACCATGGTGGAGACTTGACCTCATACTCTCAGCGAGGTGGGAGCTCTCTGGGGGGTTTGGAGCAGGTTAGGGATATTGATTAATTTCCATTTTAATAGGATTACTCTGGCTTCAGGGTGGGGTGGGTGAGTAGTGAAATGATTGTAGAGGGGACAAGAATGGGAGTAGGGAGACCAGAGGGGAGGCTTTGCAGATCAGTGTGAGAGACTTTTCAGTACATTTTATGGTTTTATGATTGTATGTCGACTTTTTACTGAAGTTTAACAACACCCTAAAAAGTGCACTAATTATAGGTACTCAACTCAGTGAATTTTTCAAACAACAATACTGACATAATTGACATACAGATAAATAACAACAGGTCCATCCCCTGAAACCTTCTCAAGTCCCTTCCAGTCACTACTCTCCCAGTATCCTGACACCACAGTTTCGTGTTACCTGTTTTTGAACTTCATATAAATAAAATTATGATATATGGACTCTTTTGTGTCTCCTTTTGCTCAACATTATGTCTGTGTGTTTCATTCATGTTGTTGGGTGTAGCACTGGTTTGTTCTTTTTAATTGTTGTGTAATATTCCATGATACAGACATGTCACTGTATATTTTTTCTATATTGTTGGTGCTGAGCATTTTATTAATACAGTTTCAATGAATATCCTTGTTCTTTATTTTGGTGTACAGAAGTACACATTTTTTTAAGTATCTGGGAGTGAAGGTGATGAATCACTAAGTATACATGTGAACTTCCAGCTTCTTTAAAAACTACTTAACAGTTTCCCAAATGGGCGTACTTCTGTTATGATTGTTCAGATTTCATGATCACCCACAAGACAGCCATCACTTTTCTTTCATGTCAACCAAGTAGGTGGTTCAGGGTAGTTTCTCCAGGGGAAATTGTTGGGAGGCAGACAGCATGTTAAAGTTCAGTCACAAGAAAGATGGTTGTCTAGTTGACAACCTGATCAGGGAGATCTGACAAGATTCAAGGTTATGGGCCTGGGTGATATTAAAGATGTTTAACCATCTGTACTGCTTGGGATGCCAACCAATCATGCAGACCCTGGTCGGTCATGGGTTAATTGTTTAGTTTCTGGATCCTGGTAAGGTGAAAGGCAGATTGGGGTACAGGGTTTGGGGTGGGGATTACTTACCAATCTATATGTAACTGTTTTCATGGCTTAGCAACAGGGATGATCACAGAGGTGCATATTAATGGCAACCCTGGGTGTGTGTGTACACTTGGCAGCTCCGAGACAAATACGGGGATGTCTTCACGGTGTACTTTGGGCCAAGGCCTGTGGTCATGCTATGTGGGATAGAGGCCATTCGAGAGGCCCTGGTGGACCAATCTGAGGCCTTCTCTGGTCGGGGGAAAGTTGCCGTTGTTGATCCAGTCTTCCAGGGATATGGTAAGTGCCTCAAAGTCACCGGGATGGGATGAAGGATGGAGGATGGGGGTTGGGGAAGGTGAGTCTGGAAAGGGAAGATAAGGGGTAGAGACGGACCCAGCGTGTCTTTCCAACTCCCTCTGCAACCCATGCCTACCTATACCCCAGGTGTTGTCTTTGCCAATGGGAAACGCTGGAAGACCCTTCGGCAATTCTCTCTGACCACCATGAAAGACTTCGGGATGGGCAAGAGGGGTGTGGAGGAGCTGATTCAGGAAGAAGCTCAATGTCTCGTGGAGGAACTGCGGAAACCCCAGGGTGAGTCTAGGAATAGGAAGGAAAGAAAGACAGTGAATCAGAGAGGTGCAGCGTGCATAGTAACTGAAAGACAGGGGTGTATGTGGCAGTGGACAAAAAGAGGTGGAGACAGGCAAAAACAGGGCCTATATAAAGGAAAGCAAAGAAAGAAGGGGAAAAGTACAGACATTTTGAAAAGTACAAACTGTGTTTTCATTTCCTTGGGTGAAGTTCTGGTAAGCATGCAGCGAGCAAAGAGGGCCATTGGGGTTATCTGCTCTTGGCAGCTGGATGGGGTGTCAGAGAAGCACGTCCAGTTGTTTTTAAATTCTCCATACAGGGGTGTTTATGAGATATAAACATGACAGGGTCCTTTCTCCAGAGATTGTGAGACATAAACGCAGAGGCTGAGAGAGAGAGAGGCAGATCAGCTACACAAGGAACAATAGAGGAAAGAACAGAGAGGGACTGAGAAGAAAGACAGGAGGAAACAGAGTGACACAGGCAGAGAGACAGAGAAGGAGAAAGAGAGAAATGGAGTGAATGAGACAAAGAGAGAGACACACAGAGACAGAGAGAATGGAAGACAGTTGGAGAGGGAGAAAGAAACAAAGGCACAGAAAATTAGAGAGACAGACAGGCTCAAAAAAGATTCTGCAGAGAAACAAGATAAGATGGGCAGATGAGACGGGCAGAGAGGGGCTGCCTGACCTATCCCAGACTGACCTTCCTGGCCTCTAAGCCCGCCCTCCCTCCAATAGAGCAAGCCTGGCTCATTCAAACATCAGTTAACAAGTACAGCAAGATTTCTTGAAGACCAGAGACTGCTAGAGGTCGACAAAAGAAGAGAAGGGAAATGACAGAAAAAAGACAGGGAGAGCAGTGTTTCAATTTGTACATGCAATGAACTGAACACCTGCACTGTACTCCCCCAGCCTAGGGAATTAACTGTACCTGTTCCCAGAGTCAGAGCTAAGGCCTAACAGGTGACCACCCTCACAGTCTCTGTAGCTGGGTTGTCGGGTCTGGATCCTGGACCCAGCAATGAGTCACGTGGTCAAATGACTTAACCTCTCTGTTTGCCCATCTGTGAAATGGAGATAATAAGAAAACTGAACCTTCCTCACAAAGTAGAGGTGAGAATTAAATAAAATAATATGGGCAGTGCTTAAACTAGGGCCTGGCACATCATATGGGTTACTGAATGTTAGCTCTTATTATTCTTATTTTCTTTATCATTACTGAATACAATCAAATACAGAAGACAATCACACAAGATGGGACAGCAAACAAATGCTCCTCAGGCATTTAAGTCTGTGTCCTAACCTGCTACCACCGCCTCCTAGGAGAGCTCCAGGACCCCACCTTCCTCTTCTACTCCATCACCGCCAATGTCATCTGCTCCATTGTATTTGGAGAACGCTTTGCCTACAGAGATCCTGAGTTCCTGAAGCTTCTGGACATGTTTTACCAGACCTTCACGCTCACAAGCTCCTTCTCCAGCCAGGTCAGGGAAAGGGTGAGGGAGGGTCGGATGAGGTGGACATCCAGGGCAGGGGAAAGGGGTGATCTGCTTTGGGGCCACAGAAATGCAGCTTAGGGTTGGAAGAAAGGCAGGGACAACAGGGAGAGACAGGGTCACAGGCACCAGGACGAGGAGAGATGGTGAGACAGGGACTGAGAGACTAAGAGAAAGAAAGGGAAGTGATGGAGGAGGCAGAGATGGAGCGTCAGAGAATTAGAGGGAGAAACTAAGAAAACGAGGGCTTGGAAGAGAAAGAAAAGAAGCAAGGAGAACATGAGAAAACAAGACAAAAACACGCAGGTTAAGAGATCCTATGAGACACAGTTGAAAATGTGTGTGTGTGTGTGTGTGTGTGAGAGAGAGAGAGAGAGAGAGAGAGAGAGAGAGAGAGAGAGAGAGAGAGAGAGATTGATTTCTCTGGGAGGTATTAGAGCCCTGAATGGCTGCCTCTTTCTGTTTTGCTAACCCAGCCTGGGGAAGACCTTATAGCCCCTTCTGTCCCACAGGTGTTCGAGTTCTTCTCTGACATCTTGAAGTACTTTCCTGGCACACACAGGCAAATCTACAGAAACCTGCAGGAAATCAATGCCTTCATTGGCCGCAGTGTGGAGAAGCACAGGGAGACCCTTGACCCCAGCACCCCTCGGGACTTCATCGATACCTACCTGCTCCACATGGACAAAGTGGGGTTTGGGAAAGGGGAAAGGGAGGGGATGAAGAAAAAGATGAGGGATGAGAAGAAGGGAGAAAGAAGTGGGGGCGGGAAGAACAGAGGGTGAGGAAGAGAGATTAGGAAAAGGTGAAGGGAAAATGAAAGGAAGGAGAAAGTGGAGAAAGTAGGGAGAAGAGAAAGACAGAGACAGAGAGAGAGAGAGAGAGAGAGAGAGAGAGAGAGAGAGAGAGAGAGAGAGAATAAAGAGAATAAATACAGGACAGGAAAAGGAACAAAAATACAGCAACAGGTGAAAAGACCCACAGAGGCAGAAAGACGCTGGGAGAGGAAGCCAGGCAAACACACCAAAGAGATGAAGAGATGGATTGAAACAGAGACCGAGTGGAGAGAGACTGAGAGAGACAGAGATAGAGATAATGGATGGACATGCAGAGAACAGAGAACAGTAAAATGGGCCAGGTGGTGTGAGAGACCCAGAAACAAGTGGAGGGAGCCTGGAGATGTGAGTGCAGCAAGGCTCCAGCCTCCCCTGACCCAGCCCCATTCCTCTGGACCAGGAGAAATCCGACCCGAACAGCGAGTTCCACCAACAGAACCTCATCATCACTGCTCTCTCGCTCTTCTTCGCGGGCACCGAGACCACCAGTACCACTCTTCGCTATGGATTCCTGTTCCTGCTCAAATACCCCCATGTCGCAGGTAGGCTGGTGGGGACAACGCATCAAGGGGCATCTCTAACCCCTTTTTAGCTGCAGAAGTGGGGCAGGGGTCCTGCTTGAATGAGAGGCAGCATTCCCCTCTTATATCAGGAGCACTGAAGGGTTGAATGAGTGGTCAAATAAGCCAGCCCTGTTAGTTGTTGTACAAATGAAAAATCTGTCAATCTGTTCTCTCCCTGTTTTTATCAATCACTTAAAGATGGACTCATCCATCATCCATCCATCCATCCATTCACCCATCCACCCATCCATTTATCTGTATGCACTTGTGTCCATTAATTAATCTGTATACTCAGATACTTTCATCTATGATTTGTCCAAGAGCATACATTGCCATTGTTTATTTGGATTGATTAATTCATTTGTTGATCTTTCAAAATAGTGGTTAATTAAATGATATTTATCATTGATCCATCAGCTTATTCATCTATTCATTCATTCACCTATCTAGTCCTTCTATGAACTCAATTTCATTCCTTAATTCTTCCATCAGTCAGTCTTCCAATTCATCCTTAACCCTTCTTCCCCTTCATTTATTCATTTAATAATTCACTCATTGATTCATCTTTGATTTATGCATTTATCATTAAGACATCCATCCATTTATTACTTTATTTATCTATTTTGTCCACTAATATATTTGTTCATTTATTCTTGCATAGATCTAGCCATCCCTCCATTCATGTGATATATTATTTAATTAAGATCACTTGTTTATTTGTTTTGGGACCATTTATTAATTAATGATTTATTAACTCACCTATTGATTGATAAGTAAATACAAAGTGCAACATTAATGTTCTTCTACTTACCAGAATTTTCATTTATAAATTGATTGATTAATTGATGTATTCATTTATTTATCCAGTTGTTCTTGGGTTGATCTATTGATCTCTTTCACTGTTATGTTCCTGAGGACCTAGAACAGTGCATCATCTATAAGACACACATAATAAATACCAGTTGATTTTCTATTCATATTAGAGTGGGAATTTTGACAGGTTCCTAGCCTCAAGTTCTTTTAATTTTCCCCTTTTGAATGTCTTTTACTTATTTTTTTTTTAGCCTCGAGATCTTAATCTGAAGCTCTGTGGAAAACTGTGTATGTGTGTGGTGCAGATGTGTGTGTGTGTGTTCACTTGTGCACATGGGAGAGAATCGATAACATTCATTAGATCTCAATGGGTGGAAATTCTTGTTGCTTCCCTCTCTGCCTCCCTCACCCCAAGCTGGTTGCTCTGAGGGGTGTTGATGATGTAACCCTTTATTATAAGTTTTCCCTTTCTCGTTAGCCCATAGAAAGCAGTGCCTCTGCTGAAATGCCTCTTTGAATGAGGTTCTCTGGTCCCACTTTTCTGTGCAGAGAGAGTCCACAGGGAGATTGATCAGGTGATTGGCTCACATCGCCCTCCAGCCCTGAATGACCGAGCCAAAATGCCATATACTGATGCAGTCATCCATGAGATTCAGAGATGCGGAGACATTCTTCCTCTGGGCTTGCCCCACGTAGTCACCAAAGACATTCTATTCCGAGGGTACATCATCCCAAAGGTGAGGCCATCTGTGTGACCACATTTCTTTTGTGCGAGCACCCTGGGTTCTCTTAATCTCCAAATTTGACCTCTTGTTGTTTTACTACTAGGGCCTCTTGTATTGTTTTATTTTTGTTTTGTTTTCAGGGGTGGGGTGGGGAAGACAATGGCAATATCTTTGATCTTCTGATCGTCCCTCAGGACACTGCAGTATTTCCCATCCTGAGCTCTGCTCTACAAGACCCCCGTTACTTTGAAAAACCAGACACCTTCAACCCTGACCACTTTCTGGATGCCAATGGGGCACTAAAGAAGAATGAAGCTTTTATCCCCTTCTCCTTAGGTAAGCTGGATCCAAACTCACTTCCCCAGGCACCAGAGTGAAGGTGTCATCCTCTCCTTGAGACAATCAAGGAGAGATCTCTGCTTATAGAGCAGTTAGTACATCCCAGCTCTGTTACCTGCATTATCCCATGCCATATACCCTACCAACATTGAGAAGTCAGGTCCCAACCCAATGCCACAATTTGGTAAACTGGACCGTGGGCAAGTATGCTAATCTTTCTTTACCTCGGAAGGGATAGAGCCAAGTGCTTTACTGGAGTCCAAAAAGAACACATCAGACACATCACACATGTTCTGCCCCAGGATATTTACAGCCCAATGGGGGAGATAGACAATCATCAAATGGCAACAAGATTATATCTAATAATAAGATTTAAGCCTGAAATGTGCTTAGAACTGCTTGGCACAGAGTAAGTGCTCACAATGGCAATTTATTATTATTATTATTATTATTATTAATCATAGCTGTGATAAGCACTCTAAAGGGGGCTTTGGGAACCAAAACAGGAAGTACTGACTACTCCTGGTTGGTCGGTGAGTAAAAGCTCACCTGAAGCACTGGCTTCTGTGCTAAAAACCTCATGGGTGAATATCAATCAGGCACTGGAAAGAGTGTTCCAGGCACAGGGAACAGCAAGGGCAAAGTTTGAAGGTGGAGACAGCATGGCACATGTGAGAAGATAGAAGAGTCCAGGGAGACTGGGGTGCAGATTACAGAAAGGGTCAGAGGTGAAGAGCTCAGTTGGACGGCCTTGAAAGTTGAGGGGAGTTGGGATTTACTCTGTTGACACTGAGAAGCTGGGGAGGGTCTTGACATGCCTCAGCTTGTCCCTATTCTGCACTCTTTGGCCCCATTCAGAGAAAATCCAAGCGCAGGGTTTTTAATTTTACAGATACAGGAAGACCCCAGAAGTTCCTAGTCTTGAAGTCTATAAGTGACTTTAGTGACCCAGGGCCCCTGGCTCTGACCAGTGCAGTGGCCTCCTCTCTCATTTCATCTTAAGTGAGAGTGTGGGGACATGTGGATGGTGGAGTGAGGGTCAATTCCCTCATTCAATAGTCTCATCGTTAGTTCAGAGAGAGATAGAGATATAAAGAAATAAGGACAGAGACACACAGATAAGGATAGAGTGAGTGAGAAACAGAGAGAAAGACAAGGAGAGACACAGACCGAGAGATATGAGAAGAGAGTGGCAGAAAGAAACAGACACTGGAAGCGAGACAATAGAGGTAGGAGAATAAGGAGGAGGAGGAGGGGAAGGAGAAAGAAGAGGGAGAAAAGCAGAATGAGAGACAGAGGAAAAAAAGAGAGGGATATACGAGTAAGTATAGAGGAAGAAATGGTGAAGGAGAGAAGAGGGATCTGTAGAGGGAGATGAAACATGAGAGGGAGAGAGTTGCAGACAGAATCAGACCCAAATAGATAGACACGGGGAGTCAAGCAAGATTGAGGAAACCAGAAAAAAAGAAAAGAAGAGAATAAGAGAAGGAGAGAGAACCAGTGCCTGACAGGGGGTCAGAGAAAAAAACAGAGGTGACTTCTATGGGCAGAAAAAGACAAAGCCTGTCAGAAAGGTGTGAGAGCCAAACACCTACCAAAGAGTATCCTAAGGACAGCCCCAGGGATGGGAGAACAGAGTGGGAAGGAGATAACAGGCTGTTCTGGAAAGAGGTGGGTCATAGAGCCAGTTACAGAAGAGGAACCAGCCCAGAGCCCTGCACCAGGATTTCTAAGCTGATGTCTCCTAATTTCTAGATGTGCCAATAATGTGGACCCTCCCTCAGACACCTCCACACACTCACAATATCTAACAACTTGCAAGGTCTAGGAAATGCATGGAAACCCATCCTTGAAATGGCCTTTCCTAGGTTGTCAGCTTGCAGATGACGAACCAACCACCAAGTAAAGGGAGAGGCTCTCTGTGTGTCTGTCTGAGCACCATGTGTCCTCATTTCTCTCCCAGCCAGTGGTTTACATCCTATTTAAGGGGGGTGGGAGTGGGGGTGCTTTCACCACTCACTATTTGATGGAAGCCATAGACTCCCATCTCATATGCATGAATCCCATTCACAACTTTATATACAATATGGGTTTTTTTTGGGGGGAACTCTTGAATCCCATGACTTTCAAGTTGAGATAAGAAGATAGACAATTGTATGCAATGTTAAACACCCACCCTACACTCTCTACCACACACACCCAGGACAAAACACAAAGTACTAACTACATCGACAGGATGCCTAGTATGGACCAGGTATTAGTCTAAGAATTTTTACAAATATTAACTACTTTAACCTCACAATAGAACTATGAGATAGGTACCATTTTCCTAATGCTAAGTCAGCACTATACACACACCTACATGACACATTAGGACACACACACACACACACACACACACACACACACACACACTTACACGTACACATCCAACCAGGTGAGGGTCTTTAGACTCTGTAGGGTGGAACTGAACCCTTGAAAATCTAACAGAAACTATTGAATTGTCAGAAAACTCATGACATATTTTTGTAATGAAAAATACAGAAAAAATACGTCATAACTTTTCCGACAACCCAATACAAACACTGCCCTGGAAAAAATTAGCAAGGCACATCCACCAAAAGATTTGCACCTGGTTTCAGAGGGTTTGGGAAGCCCCTAGAAGTCCACCCTGAATTGCAGGTTAAAGGCCAGTCTCATGCAGATCGGTTGCAATGGACACAGGTGTCTGGGCTTTGGGCAAAGAACATGCATGCACTTCGGGTGATCCACATTAGTGTTCCTCTGTGCCCACAGGAAAGCGCATTTGCCTTGGTGAAGGCATCGCCCGCACGGAATTATTCCTCTTCTTCACCACCATCCTGCAGAACTTCTCCGTGGCCAGCCCTGTGGCCCCTGAGGACATTGACCTCACACCCCAGGAGAATGGAGTGGGCAAGGTGCCCCCGACATACCAGATCCGTTTCCTGTCCCGCTGAGAGGATTGAAGGAAAGGGGTCAAAGGATTCCAGGGTCATGAAGTATCCCCACCTCTGCAGGGAATGTATCCTGACACTCTATGTTTTCTTGATTTGAGAGACCTGCTACAAGCCAGTATCCTTTTCCTTTCTTGGTTGCCAACTCCATGCAGCGTAATCTCCTTCTTTCATGCTTAAGCTCTTCTAAATACTCAAGGAGGTTTTCCTTTCCTCTAGCAATAGAATTCCAGAAGTGGTGTATATACAGAAACTGGAGGCTGAAAGGGGAAACTCAGCACAGAATTTCTCTGCAGTTCTGCCACCCAGGCCACAGTTCCCCTTGAGTGACATCTCCCTTCTCAGAACAAACACAGCCTCCATTTGTATACTCCTCATGGTCCATGATGTGTGCATACATCATCTTGCTTGAATCTCTCAACAGCCCCACCTGGCGGGTACAATGATCATGTGTAAGGCTTCAGTTGTCCGAGGTCACATGGCTAGTGAGTGGAAGACAAAGATCTACACTCTGTCTCCCTCACTATAGAACTTAAACTCTTTACTAAAGCTCCCTCCCCATATGTTTTTAAATTAAGGTGAAATTCACAGGAAAAAAAATCAAGAATTTTAAAGAGTGTAATTTAGTACTTTCTGTGTCTGTGGATTTTCTGCATATTTTAATGTAATGGAATCACACGACATGTGGCCTTTGTGACTGGCTTCTTTCACTTAGTATAACATTTTTTAAAAAGATTTTTATTGGGGAATTGGGGGGATGGGAACAGTGCTGGGGAATTGGGAGAAGGGGAACAGACAAGTTGATGTCGTTTTGTTCTTCAGTCTAGTTGTGGAGGGCATTGCTTCACTGGCCCAAGTTGGCACCATCATTACACTCTTCCCAGGTGAGGCAGATCAGTCGCCGGCCTCTGGACAGCTGCTCATGGCGGCTTGAGGGCCGCTCACGCTGGCTGCCGGCCACATGGTAGCCCATGGCAACCCACTGCCACAGGGGCTGCAGCCTACGCCGTCGCCGGTGACGCACAACAGCCCAGCTCCAGGTCGAGCTGTTGTTCAGCATCTTAGCTGTAGAGGGCAGTGTCACTGGCCCTCATATGTGGGATCCGAACCGGGGCCCTCTGGCGTCCCAAGCCAGTTCTTAACCATCGCGCCACTCGGCCGGCCCACTTACCATAACATTTTTGAGGTTCATCCATGTCGTGCTCTACCATAGTCCTCCAACCTCCTCATCTTACTGCCTCCCCTTTTTCTTTCCAATATGAAAGGGCGTCCTCAGCCCATGGCTCCCTGATCTGTGTGATTATTAACCAGTGCCTTGGATTCCCTGATATTCCCCTTAAAGGCCTCTGAGACTCAAAAAATCCTCCAAAGCCTGGCATATCCAGGTCAGGTGGTGATCTGTACCATTTTACGCGTGACACATTTACTGTCAGGTCACAAGGGATCTTTCAAAAATGTGAATACTTCTCCTTTACCCCAATGGCAGCTCCATGAAGGCAACGTGTTTTCTTGCTCATCACTGTTCTCTCGGCACACGGAGCAGCGTGTGACATATAACAAGTGTTCAAAATATTTGTTGAAGAATGGCTAAATTACGCAATCCCCAAAACTACCAACATGGAGCTAGGTTTCCCCATCAGAATATGTGTCCTCCATATCTTCCTCTGTTCTAATGCTCTGAATGAATCCTTGTCTTCAATGGGCACAAGATGTCCCAGTTCTGCCTGCCAGCTGTTCCCGATCCCTCATATGCATGCCACCCCCTGACAAAACGGGCTGAAAGCCGGCCTAGCAAAAACTATGAAAGCAGACTTCATATGTCCCATTAGCTGGCACACCTCCCTTTGTCGAGGGGGGAACTTTCTGTTTATGGGTGTTGCCCACTAAAATACATCAGGCCAGCCAGGGGCCAATGGGAAAGTGGCTTTGTGGCCCAACCAAGATGCAAAACTTCTGGTCTCTGTAGCACCTGCCAACTTTGGGCTCGCTGTTTCCTCTGGAGAGTTACAAAAAGTTCTGCCAAGGTAAATGTCTGATGTATTGTCTCCCACCAAACACAGAGAGAAAAATCAACAACCAACAACAGTGCACATTACCTTTTAAGAAAGAGAGTAGATGGAAGGCAGGCACAGTGAAGATCATGGCCCTCTAGACCATCCTTCTCCTCATGTCCTCATAGGCCTCTTACTTCTCCGGGGCAAACCCACCTCCTGGGGCTGCCCGCCTCTTTCTCCCCAGCCTCTGCTCTTCCTGGGGAACATTTTGCAAATAGACCGCAAGGACCTTCTCAAGTCCTTACATGCAGTGAGAAAAAGAGGGGGAAGAGTTGGGAAGCAGGTGGTGTGTGGATGGGAAAAGTTCATGGACAGCAAGGCAGTTGGGAATCAAACTGTTGAAGGGACTTTGCAGGTCAGCTTGGGGATTATCTTCATTTAGTCACATTCTGGCCAATGTGTCCACTAAAGAAGCTTCCGGAATTTCTGAGTAGGAGTGCAGGAAAGGGAGACTGGAGAGAGAAATTTTGATAGACTTGAGGCTTTCAGCTGTGGTCTTTCTGCTTTGGGAGGGAGAGGGACTAGGGGTCAGATGTGGGGAGTCTCTGCAATTCTTAAAATAGAAGCTGGGAGGGTTCCTGGAAAAGCCAAGAGAGGAGGACACTTGGGGCGAAGGCTGTGTGGGAGGATGGGGGGCGATCAAGTTCAAATCTCTGTTCTTCCTAGATGGGGCTACAGCTAGTGGGGTTTAAACCACACTGGAAGTGTGACCCAGGTGTGAGCATAGAGACCCTCCTGTTGAGTAAGGGAGTGAGATCTGGATCCTACCCCACAGCTATGGAAGAAATATGAGGATGTCTTCAGGGTCTTCCTGGGGTCCCGGCCAGTCATCATCCTGTGTGGGTATGAGGTGCTAAGGGGGACCCCGGTGGATCAGGCTGAGGCTTTTCCTGGCTGAGGGCACATCGCCATTGTTGACCCCATCTTCCAGGGAACTGGTGAGTGGGGGACAGCGTGGGGACTGGGGACAGAAACGGGGAACATCCCATGCATCCTCCAACCTTCCCGCCACACCCCACCAATCAGGTGTGGTCTTTGCCTGTGGAAATTCTTGGAAGGCCCTTAGGCGATTCTCTCTGACCACCGTGCGGGACTTTGGGATGGGGAAGCAGAACATTGAGAAGTGAATCAAGGAGGAGGTCAGTGTCTGATGGAGGCGCATCAGAAATCCCAGGATGATCCCAGGACGAGGGCAGAAGGTAGAGGGACAGGCAAGGGGTAGGTGAGATGGGGACAAGAAGTAAGTGAGAGAACATGACTGATGCCGAGACTCAGACACAGAGACACACAGACATGCTAAGACAGGTTCAGAGACAGGGAGAAGGGAACAGACACAAAGAGAGAATGATGAAGACAGAGAGACAGACACTGGGGAGGAGAAAAGGAGAGGCAGAAAAAGCAGACAGACACAGAGAACAGAGACAGGGGGAAAACAAGACAGAAAACATGAGCCCACTGATATAGATTGATCCAGAAGGTGACGCTGCAAAGAGAAGTCCAAGGATGAAAATGGTAAAGGTAGAAATAGGGTCAGGGAGACACAGAGGACAAGGAGAAGGCATGCAGAGACAGATGGGGGCATGAAAAGGGAGAGCACAGAGGAGGGGCTGAGTCTCAAAGGAGTCAGAGACAAGACTACAGACAGACACCACTGCACCAAAAAAGTCAGACCAAGATAGAGAAGACCAAGGAAAACAAGAGTCACAGAGGGGGCAAATCCCAGAAAGGAAAGCTGAGATGCAGAGGCCAGTGAAAGCCAGGCTGGCCAAGAGAAAAAGAAACCAATTGAACAGGTTAAGACTGCACCAGTCAGGTCAGAGCCACCCAGAAGGGCAATGCAGGAAACCCCACTTCACAGACCCTCTCTCCCCAGGGGCCTATCTGAATCCTACCTCCCTCTTCAACTCCATCACAGCCAATATCATCTGCTCCATTGTCTTTGGAGTGCGCATTAATTACCAGGATCCCAGATTCTTATGGCTGCTAAATTTACTGAATGAAATCTTCACCATTATCAGCTCTTTCTACAGCCAGGTGAATTTATGGATTCCATGGTGGCCAGGAATCAGGGTGGGTGGCCCCCAGGAAGGGTTCAGATGTTTTCTGTCCTGAACAGCAAAGCAAGAAGCCAGCGAGAGGTTGGTTTTCTGTGCACACACTTCACTCCCTGCACCCTGTCAAGTGAGGCGATGAGTCAGAATGGAGGTAGCAATGGGTCTTTTACAAGAGTGGATATGAGAAGAAATCTCAGCAGATGTAAGAGTGACTGGGACAGGGTGCAGCTGTTCATGCACCACAGAGGGTGTGAATGTGCGCATTTGGGTCTGGTCAGCTAGGAGGCTCACTCCCCAAATCCTGGGGTGAATGGCACCCTTCAGATGTTGCTGCATGCTGTGTACAACCTCAACGCCCATAGTATGCGCCCAGAGACTGGAACAGGTTCTGGGGCCTTTCCTGCTTTCGTCTAGGTGTTAGAACTCCTCTCTGGCATCTTGAAACACTTCCCTGGCACCCACACTCGCTTGTTCAGTCTTATTTAAGATGTGGAAGAATTTGTCACTGATGTCATCGAGAGGCACCGGAAAACACTGGACCTTAGTGTCCCGAACAACCTCTTTGATTCCTCCTGCTCCACATGGACAAGGCAAGGACTCTGCTAGATTTGGGGTTGGTGATGGGAAAGAGAGTGATGGACACACTTTTGACATTGAGCTAGTGCATTGAGTACCAAGTTTGTTTTTCTTTAAATATTGAAATACTTCCCTAAGGTTGATAGAAAAACCATTGGACCAACCCCCTTCCTCTTATTCCTCCTTTGCCTCCCCTGAACCTCCTTTGAGAATGACTGTTTAAGAGGTAGCAACTATTAAAGAATTCACATCTAGTCCAACAGGGAGCCTCAGAAATCATGCTTGCCCTCCCATTCTGATTGGTCCAAGGCCCATGTCTTTTCTAATTGGTCAGAGGCCCAAACCTGTTTTCGATGTCAGTTTCGATTGGTTGGAAGCTGATGTCTTTCTGGTTTGTCTCACTAACCAATCAAGTGAGTTAAATATATTCAATATCACTCTCAAAATGATAGTTGAAAGGATTAGGTTAGGTAATCCACATTTTTTAGATGAGGAAACCTGAGGCTCAAGAATAGCAGACACTTGCCCAAGTGTTTTTGGCATGAAAAATAAATGATGAAACTGAGGTTTGAGACTGAGTCTTTATGGCTCTGAAAATTAGTGTTTTACTCTGGAATGGATGAGGGCCTCTGAGACCATGCTGAAAGGTGGATGGGTGATGGGTGGACAACAAACAACTTCTGTCCTGATCAGTCTGAAAAATATAAAACTCTATCCCTGCAGAGATTTGTAACTTATAATAAAGCTTTGCTGTTGACAAAGCTCTTTGAAGTTCACAAGGTACTTTACAGTTTTCAAAATATTTTTCATTCAACGAACCATTCTGTGGTTTAGCATGCACTTTTGTTTTATGAAGTGTTTTGTAATTTACAAAATACCTGATTTACTGTAAGGTGTTTTATGGTAACAAAGCAAGCTCCAGGCATAAAGCAGTACCATTTGCAAAACATTTTGCTGTCTACAAAAGCAACATAACATGGTATTTGACAGAACACTT